ACGGCGCATCAGACCTGTGTCCAACATAATGTGAGGCTTATGTCAGGCTGTGAAATAAATGTTCCTCTCGGGGATAATACTCTACTCGTGTTTATATCATAATGTAGATGAGTCACTGTGTTGTCATACTAAACTGTGCATGACTACCACGTCTTGAGTATGAGCAAACACCCAAAGCGGCACGCCACCTAACAAGCAGGCCAACGCATGCACGCACACAGATATTTTCCAGCTCGCTGTCTCACCCTTGGGTCCGAGGATCATCCCACTGCGTCGTCCGTGTGTTGTGGTTGACGAAATACACCCTGCCATTGTCCTGACGCTTCTCTGTGGAGACAAACGGGGCAGAAGGAGCATGCTCAGTGGGCTCGGAGGTTCTTGGAAAACTCCACGCTCGACAGGATCAGAGGGATCACCTGACCGAGAGGAGAAGAAGAAAAAAATCTCGCCGCTATGAGAGAAAAGCAGCGAGTCTTTGTGGCATTTCGCTGTGGCGTGATCCAAATACCTCACCGGGGTAAAGCAAAATATGTGTGTGTGTGTGTGTCAGAGTGACCACAGACATACAGCAGAGAGTGTACACTGGTGCCCCATCCTCCTCCTCCCGCCGCTGGTCTGACATCTTTTTCTCATTAACAGGAGTGTGTGGAGGGTTCAGAAACAGTAGTGCTCGCATTGCAACTCCTACTCACTCCACCCCCCACTTTACTATAACCACCCCACTTGCCACTTTCCCTTCTTTTCTCCTCCATCTCCCATCTTTCTCTTTTTCAAATCAGAGAAACCGCAGATGAGAGAAAAAAACAAAAAAGCGCACCCGAGAAGCAAATCAGAGCCAGCGATGTAATTGAGGTTTTGAGGTACCGCAACATGTTGAAAAGGCATCACGGGCAGAAAGCGGGGGGATTTTTTATTTTTTATTTTTGGAGAGACTTCATCACGGCTGTGATGAAGTCTGAAAATGTTGGCGGAGCGGGAGCCGCCAGCAGCGTTCGTTTATGAATGAATGTGCGGGAAACGATTCGCCGTGGCTCCGGTTACATTGCTCTTTTGGGGCAGCGGTGGATGATGAAGAGCCCCATCAATAACGCAGCCCTCTGTAATTTGTGGATTTCAGAGCAAAAGGAAAGCGTACAGTGATAAATGAGTAGAGCGCTGAAAAGAAACCATGAGACACTTTATCCAGCTTTTCTACACTTGAATGAAAATCACCATCAGTGGAGGGATTTATCAATCAATTAACAGTTGGCTGGCTCACAGCTCAGTGTTTCAGCACAAATGTAATAGCCACAGAACCAGAAGAAAGGTTTAAAATCTCCAAAAATGTGCTTTGAGATCTGTAAAAGGGAGGGAAAATTTCACCGTGCAGCAACTGTTTTCCAACACCTCCACCTAACAGCTGCACGCACATAAGGAAAGCGCATTTTGAACCGTTAAATCGAAGGTTCGCGTCAGGTAGTTTGAGTGTCGCCAAACCTACCTGCAGGACCGGTGAGGGAGGCAGAATCGATCTTTTCAAACAGGCTGTAAATCTAGCACACCTGGAGACGATTTTAGAATATTCTCGTCTTTGCCTGGAGTTTGTTAACAGTCGCAGAAGTGTGTGCATGTGTGCGTGCGATAAACTCACCCCATCCAGGAGGCAGCGGGCCCAGAGGGTCATTTTCCACCGGAGCACCGGATGGCTGAGGGGGGGAACACAGAGAGAAAACAAATCCGGTTAGGACACCTTTAAGTGTCTCCTCTCATAGCTTGATTTTGCTCCGGTTTTCTCTCGATCCTCGTCGGCACCATCGCAAAAAAAGTCGTGGAAAACAAAAACACACAACATGTCGTGAATAAACCAATCAGAGCTCAGGTGGGTGAAGAAAAACGGAGAAAAACTCATACAGGTGCTCCTAACCGCCGCGACCGAGTCTCTGCTCGACCTCCCTCCCTCAGCGATATCTGTGGCTAAGTGAGGGTGTATGTGGGGAGAAAAGGTGGAAGAGGACGGGGTAGCGGGGTAGCTCCTCTCTGCCTCAGCACTGAGGGGCGACTGAGAGAGCTGGCCGGCCGGCGGCTCGTATGCCTTCCAAAAACTACACGCTCGGTAGGAGGATAAAACAACAACGCTGTTCCAATGAGCTCACTGGCTGGATGCAAGCCCCACCCCCCCACCAGCTTCCCGCTCACCTCCTCCCTACCCCACCCAGAGGTCCTCCTCCTCCACCACCACCGCCTCCTTTCTCTCGCTCTCTTCTAGCGCTGCTGTGAAAGTAGGCAGGGAAGTGCGATGTCTGAGGGAACTGAGGGAACATTCATGCTTGTTCCAGACTGGACACCACCCACCTCCCTGGCCCCCACCCACCCCACGCCTGACAAAAGGCACCTTTATTCACCCTGGGCCTGGAAACCACTGTGGGGTTTACTCAGCCTGTACTCACACACACACATACACACTGAAAATGAGAAAAAAAAAACATGTGTGCGCCATGGTGTGGAAAGTTTGTCCATGGCAAACAGTCAGTCAGTGTATGTTCTTATGGGGGAACACACACACACACACACACAAACATACAGGAATATATTAGCATGAGTGGAAAAGCAGCTGAAAAGATGCTTGTTAGGTGTTAGCAGAAGATTTTTATCAAAAAGGACGATTTAGGTGTGTCGCAAGCAGCTTCAACAACATTCCCTGCACCACCAAGCAGAGTGCTCCTCATTCTCATGACAACATGTTGTGGTGCTGCTGTAAATAAAAACGCTGCTATTTAGCCATAAAAAGCTCCGCTTGGGAGAAACCCCCGAAATCAATTAGAAAAACTTTTAGGCGGATTCACAACCTTTCTGATTGGACAGCTGATCGACACTCTGCCAAACTTGCTGGGTGTGTTGCTGAGGACATGAGTACGTGCAGTGCAGAGGTCCACTGTCATATTTTGGGTAAAAACACTTTGTGTTTCTGCTCCAACATGTGTGGAGAGATGACACACAAACCAGGGACTGTATATAAAAGATGGACGC